CATTGCAGGAGTGTGCCCTGCTGACAGATGGTAGATTTTCTGGAGGGTCACATGGATTTGTTGTCGGTCACATATGCCCTGAAGCACAGGTACTGCTTTGTGGCACTCAAGCAGTGGTGACAATTTAATCTAAGCTGCGAGTTTTGTACCAGTTTCTTTTCAGTAGCAGTTCAAGATTAATTTTCTCACCGCGGTGCATGATAGTAAAAATAAACTGCAGAAAGTTTGTATTATTCACAAAGGAGCTATTTTTCAGGAAGGTGGCCCAATTGGCCTTGTCCAGAGTGGTGATGTAATCACCATCGATGTAAGTAAGAGGGTAATCGATGTTGACCTTACCGAACAGCAGCTAGAAGAAAGACGGAGGAAATGGACCCCACCGCCATACAAGTCCACCCGTGGAGCTCTTTGGAAGGTATTATAGCTTGAACATTGTCAGCCTTGTTGGCATCAGAGTAATCCTTGGCTCCCTGCTGAATGTCTCTTTTCCATATACTATTGCAGTACATCAAGCTTGTGGCTCCAGCGTCGAGAGGATGTGTCACTGATGAGTAGGATGTGTTACATTCTGTTAGGTTGTGCACATTATGTGTTGTCAATCAAAAGCTGTTGCCAGGAACAATTACCCTGTTAGAGTGATTCATGGTAGTGCGGTTTGCATGTGGCAGGTATAACAATAAAATGCCGGTTTCTAAGAGCTTAGCAATGCTGCAGAAACTGCTGAATAATCAAGTGTAATCGGTCTGTTTAAGCTTGTGAGCAATCACATCTTTTTCAGTCTCTCCCTTGTGTTTGTCGCATTGTTTGTACGGAAATGCTCCTGTAGTACGTCTGGCCGTCCGGACAACGGCTTCCCAGGCCTGTGCAACGAATCAGCCCAATAGGCCCGCACTTCTTTTATTAAAAAACAATTGTTGGACGTCGATTCTCCAATCCTCATCGCTCGCCTGACGCGGCATTCTTTACCGGCGTGTTCTTTACCGCCGCACCACGCTGTTGACCGACGTGGTAGATTCCACTGCGCCGTTCGCCGCAGCGTTCTCCATTGCGGGGGCACCTCGCCGCAGGCACGACACCAGCCCGCCGTGACCTTAGTGGGGGGCGCCTCGTCGCGGGAGGCCATACCCGCCTGACCGCCGCCACTGCCTCCACCACGAGAGCCGCTCGTCGGGGCCGCCACCACTCGCCATCGAGCCTACGCCGCCGCGGATTACGTCGTGGTCTGCGAAGACCGCCGCGGCGCACCTGGGCGCCTACCTAGTGCCATCCTTCCTCTCTCCATTGCGCCGAGCCGCCCTCCTGCCGCCATCCTCGTTCTCTACTGCACTCGAGCGCTGCTTGCTGGCTACCTCAGTTCCCACAAGGTAGGCCGTGGGCACCGGCGATGCTGTATTTCAGGTGTTTCAGATGTACGTGTTTGAGTGTTTCATCTGGATGTTGCGTATGCTGCAATGGCTATATATGCATGTTGCGAGTATATGTTTCAAGTGTTTCGGTTCTATCTGGATGTTGCATAACATGCATGTTGTAAGCGTTTGTTTCAAGTGTTTCATACGTATGTTGCAAGTGTTATTATCTGTATATTGCAAAAGTAGATCTGGATGTTGCATGCGTTTGCAATGGCTTTCAAGTGTTTTTAGGTGTTTTACAAGTGTTCAGACGTATGTTCTAAGTGTCTCAATTGTTTTCGGACGTATGTTGCAAGTGTTTCATCTGAATGTTATAAAAGTAGATCTGGTGTTGCACACGTTGCAATTGGACCACCTGCCGTAGGCCCGCAGCCGCTTGATGCAGCTGTTGGGCGACGCCGAATGGGCCAGATTATCCCCGCTTGCATACGCGTGGAAAGCGTACGAGGCACAAGCGGTCTCCACGTGTTGTCGGTCGGGCGAGTGGTGCATGCGGTCCGCATAGCATGGGCCCCGCGTGGGCGCATCGGAGAGCAGGCGTAGGAAACGGGTGCTGGCACCGGCGTCCTGATGCGGGATTCCGTCTGGGCCCGTTGTTCGTACTGCCTTGTTCACAGAGATGATCTTGTGGATTGTTCTCTGGTCCTCCACTGGCACTTGAGCATCTGCTAAGACTCTGAAATTCCCATGGAGTAAAAGTGCAATAAAGGTGGTTTACTAGTGCTACAAGCTTACAACAGAACAATCTTGTAGCTAGTAAGCAGTAACATCGGCATTGAGCATGTCTTGATGTGCTTTAATCGGTTTGAGGAAAATGTTCTTCAAATTGTCGAACGTTCAAATCTCCTACGACTAAAAAGAATAAAGCGTGGATATCTTTTGGTGCGACATTTGTTTTGGTTCGTCCGTCTGCCCACCCCGTGCGATACCCCGCGCGATAGAAAAAGAAACTGTCATCCCTGCAATCCCCACCTGCTTTGAAGGAAATAAATCGATCACCTGAGGCCACATGCATGAAAGGAAATAATAATCATGCATGAAAGGAAACAATAATCATGCATGAAAGCAAAACAATCATACATGAAGAAAACAATAATCATGCATGGAAGAAAACAATAATCATGTATGGAAGGAAACAATAATCATTTACTCTTTTTTCAAATAGTGGTCTTCATTTCGGAGCCCTTCATGTAATTTAATAATAGCTGGAGAGATAGGCTTGCGAGAACTTATTCTTAATTGGGTTGCGAGCTAGGGACGTAGCACTTCAATGGGTGTCTTGGTTGAGTTCTACAATTGCCAAAAATTAATGGTGCTGATAAAATTGACAATCCTGTAACTATGCAGTACCTTTCTTTTTTATAAAAAAAGAGGGTAAATGCTACTTATGGTCGAATCCATGTTCTTTTTGTTGTTTTGATTTGATGCCACATCCCACAGCCCACATATTAACTTTCAGATGTGTTTGTAAATAATCAAAAGGAGTTAGCCTAATGCTAATGTTTCTTGTCGTCTTTTTCATTCTTTATATTTATACTAGGTAACGTGCTCGTGTGTTGCTATGGGATAACTAATAATTTATACTAAAAACACAATAAGATAATAATACTGTAAAAAATTAAATACCAATGTTAAAATGACATTTAATCAAAAAGCAAAGTTTATGAATTTAACATAGTCACGGAGTGCGCGGCGTCGCAGGCTCACAAACTCTACTTTATAGACCTTTCCGTGATGCGGCTAAGATAATATTTTATATTGGCAGGAAGAAATCTTTGATATATATTTCTTTCATTGTAATCCATTTATCTGGACAATGTTTAAGGTGAGGGCACGGTTACAGTTTTTAGTAGCTTTGCAATATTGGCTGCGTTCGCTGGTCTGGTTTTACCAGACCAGCCGGCTGCTCCTTCTCACAACAACCAGCCAGTTTCAGCCGCTACAATGTTTCTCTCTCACAACAACCAGCCAGTTTCAGCCAAGTTTCAGACAACGAACGGGGCCATTATCCGAAGCTATGAGATGATTGATGTCTTGCAATGATCCTTTCATTAATTTAGTTTTCTATCTATGTTTAATTGTTTATTCAATCTATTTTATAGGCACGCCGGTAGATAATGGATGACAAAATTCAAGCATCCATAATTTATCTCTTTGACTTTGAGCATGAGTTTTGTTTTTATTTTTTAATTGATATATTGTTCTTTTGTTTTTACCGTAGCGTTAACACGGGCATGCATGAAAAACGAAGATGTCTTTACACTGTAGAAATCTTTCAAGAAGATCATGCATAGATTATTCTTGTATTGAATATTATATATATACAATCACCTAAATATTCTAATTAAACTACAAAATTTTGAATTAGGATACGAGGTAAGACATGCAAACAAATATTTCAAAACTACCTGTAAAGTCCAAAGAACTTAATAAATAAATTCTTTTGGAGGCAATGCAAATTCTCTCTAATCTTTCATTTGGTATAGTTAGTGTTATCATAGTACCCGTATGTATTCATGAGAAATAAATCGTGGACAAAACGTGGATACCTTTTGGTGTGACATTCCAACATGGGGTCTATCGTCCTGCCAATATCTTTGAGGCAGATTACATAAAGAATGAGAATCCCTCTATGAGATTGCTCATAAGAGACTCAAACTTATATCTGATCATGATAGTGTTGAATTGCTTTGCATCAAAAGCATCGGCAATGATAAACGGGAACATAGGTTTTAGTATGCATAGTGGAGGAAAACTCAACCTTGGCCTTCTCAGCAGCTTTTCTGAGTTTTTACAGTGCTAACTTGTTCTTACTCAGATAGTTAAGAGGTGCACCATAAAATTATGCACCACTAAGAAAAGTGTCACCATTGGTTGCCTTGACCTGAAAAATATGTCGAAATTAAGAATTACAACACATAATTCAACATCTTCGAACAGACACTCAAGTGGATACCTTATTCTACAATATATGTCTGTGTGGAATAGTCCTAAAGCCACACATATTTATACGATGAGTATAACATACTTTGTTTTAAAAAATTATGAGAGATTTTTAAGACACGCAGTATTATCCATGTGACAGGCACTAATATTTACATATATACTCGAACCTGGGACGCCGCGCTCTCCGTGACTGTGTTAATTTCACGAACTTTGCTTTTTAAATTAAATGTCACTTTAACGTCGGTATTTAATTTAACAATATTGTTATCTTATTGTGCGATCCGTGTGTTTTTAGTACAAAAGATTTAGTTGTCCTGTAGCAACGTATGGGCACGCTACCTAGTATACTCCCAATGATGAATAAAAAAAATATTAAGGGGATAACAGTTTTTCTTGGGCCGCATTGTTCACAGTTGGACCGGCCCACGATTGGATTACTAGACCTGGTCCACCGGCCCACTCTACTTCTCCTCCACCCTCCGGCCAGATTGCCAGAATCCACCGCGCCGCCGCGTTCGTCTGCCCGCCCGCGCCGCCGCTCCCCTCCCTCGCCCCTCCTCGCCTCGCAGTCCCAGCCCACCGCGTCGTTGCCTTTCGTGATTCGCTGCTCGTCGTGTGGCGGCGTTAACTAGCCAGCTGGTAGCGATGGCAACCGAGCCGCCGTCGGCGGCGGAGAAGAAGAAGGTGCCTCTCCCCAAGGTGGTCACGCTCAATAAGGCCCTCAAGCTGGTGAGCTCCTCGTCCCCGCCTACTCGGCTCCTCAGTTCCTTCTCCTGTTCCTTCCTTCTGGAGCGTGGTTTCTTCCTCCAGTGGTGTGTGATGCAATGCTTTCTCCTGTTCTCTTCTACTACCAGCGTTAGGTTTTGTAGACGTTGCCTCTAATTTGCTAGACGCAATGACTATGGAAAATGAAATTCAACCTCTCCGGTTGCTAGGCACTGTCTCTTTCGCATTCCCTGGTCTCCGTGCGCGCCTAGATGCGTCATGCCGTATCGAATTAGGTGGACAATTTACAGAAGCAGATATCTGACCCATGCCATAAATCATTATCAGGCGCAGACATGGGTGGACAAAATGAGTGCGTCGGAGCCGGATGAACCCAACGATAAGGATTTCGAGGGCCGGCCAGCAAGGTATATGATTCATTGATTTTTCCTTTTACCTGGATAACTGGCAGTGACCGTGAAATTTTTTTAGACTCGGTCTTGGTGCTAAAGCGGCACCTGGTGTGAAACGTGCGGCTCCCACTGACCCAGTTGAGAGGAGGTTGCTTGGGAAGGTGAATGCGCAGAAGAGAAAGGCCTTGGAGGATGAAAATAGAACCGCTAAGGAGGTGAATGAGGCTAGTGACGACGATGAGCCTGAAAGCAGGACCGGTGCCTTTAACAAGAAGAGGCCACTGCCTTCAGTTACTTCTACACCTTTAGGGAAGAAGGCAAAGTGACAAGCTGTATGCATAAACTATCTGAGTGATCAGCTTGTTCTGGTCGCATTTCTTACTAACTCCAAGACTGATGCTATTTGCATGGGCATAGTATACCTTCTCATAGTCCAGTGTGTGGTTCCTGAATTTAAAGGGATAGCTGCGCTTTAATGCTCATTGCCAATTCAGAAATTCACATACTCTCTGTTCAAAAATACACTGCGATATTCATTTGATTATTTTTCCTTCGATTCAAATGTCATGCCCGCTCGCTTTTAGCGTTTCGTCTACTATGTTGGTTCCTATGTTGCATTGTTCTTTAATAAAATTTCATGTAATTGTTTCTCAAGAATGGCAATTTAAAGGCGCAGAAGTGCAATATAATTAAACCTTTGCTGTCATGATTGTTTTAAAGGAACAATGCTTTAAAAGTTTTCGTGCATCATGTTATATCATAATGTCTCCACCTTTAGATGAAGTGTGGCAAATGAGTTTATTCTTCTTTTCCTGGAATGCAAATATCTCTTCTGTGTTTCTTTCTTTATTTAGTTCCAGGGAATCCTATTCCTATACAGAAAAAAAATATATGGTGGGTCTACCATCTTGATGCAGCAGTGTCACAGCTGCTGTTGAGAGAACGGAAGAGAGTCAACAGGAGTATATGTAGAAAATGTCATCTCTACCAATGTAAGGTTTCTTATGCAGTTATGCTTGTGTTGTGACCAGTGAGCATACGGGTGAATGAGAAATCCACGCTGCTACATTGCACAGGAAAAACCCAGATAGTAATCAACGTTACATCAATGCTCAAATATTTTCTTGTCTTTGTGTATTTCATAAGGTAAGTAACATGCCCATTTACTTTCACTATTTCGTTTCTCTTTATAGTTGATTGTTCTCTGAAATGGTATTGTTATTAGAGATATGTATAAGTCTAGCTCATGTATATTGTATCTTGGCTATATATATGAGATCCACCCCTCCCTAATGGAGTGAGGTGTTATCCCAATCTTGTACATGGTATCAGAGCCCCAGGCCCCCTTCCCCGTCTTCCCTCCAAAGAGCTGGAAGTTGGATGATTTGTCTTCATGCCGTAGCTAGAAAAGTTAGATCTGATGTCAACACCAGTTGAACTTAGTACAGAAGAAGTTAGTACATAACAGTATAACACCATAGATATGTGCAATTGCGCGAACATAAAAATCGTTTTTTTGCAAAATGAGTGGGGAAGAAAGTGCAACATATGGAGCCAGTGAGGCATGAATCTATTCTAGGGAATGTGTGGGAAGAGAAATTAGATTCTTGTTTGCAAAAGTGCCTCTGTGCTTGGTAGCAATCTACCATTTTGATCAACAAACCATGTCCTAGCTCGAGAGGATGATGATATAACTCGAAGTCGCTGCCATGGCCAGCAGGTGTATCTTAATCTTCTGTGAGTACTTCCTATCTCCTGTCTTCCATGTGCATCTTCTTGTTCTATTTGTCTCGTCAACTCTTCTATCCTTTGTTGCAGCCCAGCAGATCTTCTGTCAGCAAGCTTGAGGCATGCATCTGCAGCAGCTTGTGCTGCCATTGCACTGGCTGCTAATTTCTCTTTTAGCTGTATCTTGCTGTTTGCAGCCTCCAAGTCTGTTTTTACCCTTCCCAGTTCTTCTTTGAGCAAGGTAATCTGAAATGGTATCACATTATAACATGACTATCAATAAGGTACCATCAATCCATTAGAGATGTTTTGCCCCTGTTGGTATGAGGATGACTGAGAACTCAAAGGAAATCAAACTTGTGCATTTTCTATGTCAGTAAACGGTGACACTGTTTTGAAACAAGCATAGTCTGCCTTGTGTGTGTGTTGGGGACCTCCAGTCCGGGTTCTTTCTAAACTCAGCTCGTTGTTTTTTTTCTTTTATCTTAATGAAATGACACGCAACTTTGCTGCATACTTTGAGAAAAAAAAAACGGTGACATGTTTTTTACTAAGGCGGCTCATGAAAACATGCCATTTGTCAGCATGTGAAGTACGCCTCATGACATCATCTTAATGAAGGTGAGATTTAAACTTATTTCTGACGGATTACCTCCTGGTTGAGTTCTTTGATGGCAGATTTTCCAGCTTCTACCTCCAGTTGACATGCCTCCTTCCATCTTGTGGCCTCCTGTCCCACTGCTTTTGTCTCTAGAGTGAGGTCTTCCACCTTAGGCATTGAAAAAGAGAGTTCAGGTCCTTCTGGTTTACCTGGCTAGCGAATAACAAGCTGTACAAAATAGATTTATCCTTACCCTGTGAACCAGAAAGCTCTCCCTTTCTTCCAATTCTTTTATGTGTGATTCATATTTGCATATCTTCTGAGCCCATTCAGTAGCAAGAAGTTGGAAATGATAACTGTCTGACCTATTCAAAGAAATTTTATATTTGGCTAGCACAGATCACAGTCACAGGAAACATTTTTATTTGTTTGAGGAGTCCATCTTTAGTCATCGGTTTTTTTTTTTTTTTGTTTACCTGGACTCCTCAAAGGCCTGCCTTAGATCGCTGATCTCGGAATGCAGGGTTTTCATTGTGTTTTCAACTATACTAGCCTGAAATGGAACAGTTTGAATATTTTGATTAGCTGATGAGTTTCCCAGTGAGAAATGATTTTAGCTGACAACTTATAATGAGAATAAAAGGCTCATGTCAATTCTAGTGGCATGGCATACATGGCCAGATCATTTTTTTTTTTGCCAGGTTAGTAATTTTTCTTATAAAGAATAAAGGCTTAAGGTGGTGGGAACAGTCACTAATTGGAGGGTATTTGCAGAATAATTATTTCTTGAATCAAAACTACTGAATCTAGTATAAAACTTTTATAAGGGCAAATGTTTATAGTATACTTTATTAGATCTGGAACAGAAGTACAACAGATAAGTGAAGGTTGAAGACTGAAGCTAGGGAGGAGAATAACTATTTACCAGACTGATGTGCTCATGTTCATTTTCTGTTCTATTAGATGTTACAGTGGAACCTGAGGTGCTCGGCTCCTGGCTTGCTGGTTCAGCACTTATCACCTCCATGATGAAGCCAAAGCCTACCTTGTGCAATCCTTTCTCAGCAATCTGCAAGATGGAACTTCTTCCCTGCTCCTTGTCACCCTTCAGTGTATGGATGCTGTTCTCCGCCGCCTCTTTCTCAGTTATAGCAACCTTCAACATGTTGCGGATCTCCTGATTCTCCTTCATTAAACTTGATACTTTGCTCTCCATCCTACTTATATCCTTCCTTTGCATCTCTATGCGCCCTGAGAGGTTGGATTTGATCTCTGTGGCTAGATGATGAATGTTCTTGGCCTCTGACGCCAGAAATTTCAGGCCATCATTGGGATCCAAATGAAAGCGCTCACAAATTCTGTCAGCTTTGCCATCAGAAACCATGTCGAAGATATTCTCCAGGATCCCATGGACTGAGTGGAGCGACCTGATAATCTGCTGCAAGGCAACCTTTGGTTGATCCATGATGGAGTGAATGCAGATGTTGGTATTGGGTGGGTGGGGGGGGGGGAGAGAGAGAGAGAGGGTGGGGCCATAGTATGTAGCATCTAACAGTCAACGAAAAACACTGAAGAGTAGGTAGCTAATCCATACAACCCATGAAGAGTAGTTAGCTTATCTATTAGGCTGTTTTTTCATTATTTTTCTTTGACACAGGCTGTTTTTCATTCTTTGTTACCACATAAATACAGTGCTGTCGCTCCTTGATTGATTGACTATTGTTACATCATTTTTTTTTTCTTTCTGGCCAGACTGCTACCAGTATGGATCATGGGGTGATGATGAGATGGCAACATAGAAACGGATGCCAAAGTGGAGGCACCTGTGAGAGACTCATCGTAACTTTTACAATCAAGGGGTTGGCTGTGGGTGACCAATCTGGAAGCAGTCCCAAGTTAGTATCGTCCGTCCTGCAATTGTGCACCATGAACTTACTTGGATTCCATTGGACATAGGCATATAAGGTTGTTGATTTGGTAATATGCCCAGGAATTATATACGGACAAGCCTTGCAGACCGTGCTGCAGTTGCACCCTGGTTCTCTGTTTCTTTCGGATCTATGCTAGTCTTGTATTCGACAAACATGGAATCTGCGTACTGTAGTTGATTGTGTAGTTGATGGTATTGATGATTTCATGCCCCTATTTGATTGTATTCATTTCGGTTTTTAAAGAATGAGCGCGAAGATTAAGGATTGACTAGTTTTAAGTGTTAATAGTGTTGAGGTGCACTGAGTACTGATAGCATCATTGATTTTCCTTTGACCGTACTAGAAAGGGGGTTATGAATGGGTAGCTTGACCTACTTTAGTTTAGTGAGTGGATTTGATGCACACTTGTGTATCACAAATGAAGTCCAGGGATGATTGGAATTTAAACCAAACTCAAAGTTGTTTGAATTGGATGAGTTTGGTGCCTGTGTGCACCCAACAGGTGCACCGGACGAGGCACAGTGCCCATTTTCTCCATGTATATGATCAGAGATATGACTATCTATATCTAATATTAAAGAGCAAAATGGTTTTTTCTTCTTGTTTTTTATTTCCTAAACTGCCTCTGTGCCCTCCATATCCCGTATATGACCCAAATTTTTTATTCGTGCACATATGTGTTAGAACACTTATGTCGTCCATCGCTACAGATTCTGATTTCAAGACGTATTAGGTTTCGTACAACACACAAACACGTTTGTTAGTATAAATATTAAAGAGCAAAGTGATTCTTTAGTTCGATTTTATTTTTATTCCCAGAATGCCCTCACGCATCTATCCGTCTTCTCTGTGACCCACGCTCCGTGCTCGTGCTCGCACCTTTGTCTTAGCATTGTATGGATGCATGCAAACACTCCGATTGATCAACGCATTGGACTTTAACTTTCCTTTTCCTTCCTCTATAAATCAAGAAGTACGTGCCGCACATCCATGGGCAACCAAGGTCCAGGCGCTGCAGATCCCAGACAAAGTCGCATATAGGCTATGCGGACCCAACAAAACTCTT